TGTAAATCTTCACCCAAATCACAATTTAAAAAAAAAAAAAAAAACTACTACTGCTTTTACTACTCCTACCATTTTCCATGCTGCCATAAAGATTACAGCTTAGAAAAACTCTATGGAGCAGTTCTACTCTGTCCATTAGTGTTGCTGTGAATCTGAGTTGATTGGATGACACACAATAGGAACATATTTTAGATAGACATACAAATACCATATAGGATCATTTATCATTTTGTAACTTGCTTCACTATGTCATGAACATATATCAATGTCAAGAAATGGAGATTTTCCATATTACTCTCTAGAGCTATATATTCTATGGTGTGGATATACCATAATTTGTTTAATAGTGTCTTTCATTGGGTATTTTGGTTATTCATTATTTTTTGCTATTATAGACAATGCTGTGGTGAAACCTTATACATACTGTTGCATACATTTCTTTGATTATTTCCTTAAGAGAATTGCCTAGAAGTAGGATTATAGAATCAAAGGGTATGCGCATGTTAATACTGGATCAGTTCACATCCTACCAGCAGTAGATGAAAGGGTTGGTTTCCTAACTTACAAATAGGCACATACACTGTTTTTTGTGTTAATCGCTCATAAGATACCAGTAAGCACATACACTGTTTTTTGTCTTCACCTCTCAAGAGATATCTTGTAAGGAGCCCTTGTGACACAATGCTCAAGTACTCAGCTGCTAAACAAAAGATTGATTGGCTGAACCAACCCAGCAGCTCCATGGGAGAAAGACTTGGCCATCTGTCTTCACAAAGATTAAAACCCTTGAGGGAGGGGCTTGAGTCAAGTTCAACTCATAGTAACCCTTTAGGACAGGGTAGAACTGCACCATAGGGTTTCCTAGGCTATAAATCTTTGCAGGAACAGACAGCCACATCCCCCAGCAACTAACCACTGCACCACCAGGGCTTAAGGAGATTTTCTGATACATGATTTTGCTTCCATGTAAATTTGCTCATGCAACACAAATAGTGTGCATATTCTGATTGTAGTTTTATTCCATGCATTCCTGTCAGATTATTATAATAGTAATATCTCAATAACTACAAAAAGGACCAGTAACAAAATATAGGGAGCTCTGGTAGCATAGTGGCTAAGGCACTTGACTGCTAACCAGAAGGCTGGCGGTTCAAACCCACCAGCCACTCCTCGGAAGGAAGGTTGGGCAATCCTACTTCCGTAGTGATACTGCCTCGGAAGCCCAAGGAGGGGTCACTATGAGTCGGGGCCAACTCAACGGCAAATAACAACAACAACAACAAAAAAAAAAAAATATATAAAGCATACAGCATTTTCCCACCAACATACACGTTTCTCTATTCCAGTCAAGATTTTCTGGTCAAGCATTGGAGGTGTTGGGGAATAAAAAGTCACAACACTTAAGAATTCTTTACCACTTTTCCATCCCATATCTCCCAGATGAATGTAAAGTACAGAGGTTGTGCCCATCATCTTTACGTGGTACAACAGGTACATGGAAAGCAGATAGGGAAAAGGGAGTATAGTTTTTGTCAATGCAGCTCTGTAATTAATGAACAGTACTTTGGTTGCTTTGAGAGTTCTTGTTGATACACTAAGTAGGGTGCTGTCATTGTTTATTATATTGATTATGCATATAAAATACAGCCTTTGCCCAGGTTGCTAAACTCAGTAAATAATATCTCTCCAAGATGGACACACAAAGTATTTATTGGCTTCTTTCTAATTAAATAGGTAAGTTATCTTGGCAAAAATGTACAATAGACTTAAAAAAAAAAAAAAAACCAAACCCACTGTCATCAAGTCGATTCTAACTCAGTGGACCCCCATTGGGTTTCCAAGGCAGTAAACCTTTATGGAAGTAGATTGCCCAGCCTTGCTTCCACAGAGTGGCTGGTGGGTTTAAACCACGAACTTTTTGGTTAGCAGTCAGATGCCTTAGGCGCTGTGCTGTCAGCGCTCCATAAAACAGACTTAGAGATAGGAAAAAATATCCCTTAAATTACTGGAAGTCATATACTAGAAAATGAGATGGGTGTAGTGGGTTGAATTATAGTGTCTAAATGACTTACTTATTTACTTATTTAGTGGAATTCTTTTTTTTAAATTAACATTGTTATTTGACAACTCAGTATTTCTCAATTATTAATTTCTTGTTTTCTTCCAGGGGCCACATTATCTTAGTTCCAGAATTTAGTCTTCCATTGGAATACTACCTAATACCCTTCCTTATCATAGTGGGCATCTGTCTCATCTTGATAGTCATTTTCATGGTAGGTAAATTCATTTTAAATAATTAAATAAATAATATTATCAGGTATATAGAAATTCATGTGTGGATCTAACAAAACATAGTAGTAATTGAAAGAAATCTTACACAGAAAAATGCATATTATGTGAGCCCATTTATATGATGTTCTGGAAAAGGCAAATCTAATCTGGATGGGAAAAAAATCAAAATAATGGTTATCTCTTGGGGGTTGGGGAAAGGTAAGGATTTACTGGAAAGGGAATGAGGAACTTTCTGGGGATGAGAGTCATGTTCTGTATCTTGATGGAGGTTTGAGTTGCACAATTGTGTGTGTTTCTCTGAACTCAACATATTATATATTTAAATTTTTTTGTATTTCATTATATATAAATCTTACCCAAAGAAAATAAATATAAAGAGATACTAAACTCTAATTAATTACATGCATGATAAAGTATTTTGGGGGAAGAATACAGATGTCTACAACATATTTTGAAAGGTAAGAAAAATAAGAGGGAAAAATAAAATGTATAGATGGGTAGATAAAAGAATGCATATATGGGTAAGTAATTTAAAAATTTACCAAAAACCAAACCAGTTGCCATTGAGTCATTTTCCACTCATAGCGACCCTTTAGTAAGATGACTTTTTTATATTGATTTCAGAGATTTCTCAACAATATTTCTTTAAATATTACTTCTTTCTTATTCTCTGTATACTCTCTGGGAATCCTTTTAGACTTATGTTATAACTTATTCTTTTACCTGTCCTTCTTGCCCTGTATTCCTGGTGGCTTTCAATTTTCTTTCCTTTTATTTATTTATTTGCATCCTTTTCTTTCAATATAGTATTATAGACAGTTCTTTCAGGTCATTGATTTCTTTTTTAATCAGCATATTAGTTGAGCCTCTGTTAAACTCATTTACTGAGTTTTTAGTTTTTTTGAAGTTTTAGTAGACAATTTTCAGAACTTTTGATTCTTCTTTTGGTGGGAAAAGGATGACTTGTTTTTTCCTTGTAGTGTATATGCCTGTCTTTTACTCTCTTTTCATTTTAAACACATTTAAAATTCTTGTGGTGCTAACTACCTTATTTGTTGTATCCGCTTTTACTCCTTGTGCATCATTTCTTCTTGTGAAGAAGGAAGGTCGTTTATTGTCAACAGCAGTTTGTTGTTATTATTGTTAGCTGCCTTGAGTTCGCCCCCAACTCATGGTGACCCCCATGCACAGCAGAACAAAATGCTCCTTGGTCCTGCACCATTTCCCGTGACCAGTTGCAAATTCGACCATTGTGATCCATAGGGTTTTCATTGGCTGATTGTCAGCAGTTGATTGCCTGGCCTTTCTTCCTATTCTATCTTAGTCTGGAAGCTTCACTGAAATCTGTTCAGCATCATATCAGCATATAAGCCTCCACCGACTGACAGGTGGTGGCTGCACATGAGCTGCATTGGCTGGGAGTCAGTCCACATCTTCCACATGGAAGGCGAGAATTCTACCACTGAAGCACCAATGCCTCTATATGACAGCTTATTTCTGTACATATCCTATGTTGCCTGATTGTGAAAGTGTCTTCTCTGAAATGATCTTGCATATGCTTCTGTCAAGAACCCCATGATATCACATGTTCTGGACCCATTTTAAAGAGCTCGAGTGTCATAGTGCCTAAGGCATTTGACTCCTATCCAGAAGGTTGGTGGTTCAAATTCACTAGCCACTCCGTGGAAGGAACATGGAGCAGTCTACTCTGTAAAGATCTACCGACTCAGACTCCCAGTGGGGGTCACTGTGAGTCGGAATTCACTCTATAGCAGTAAGTTTGCTTTTTTGGTTTTTTTGGACCCATTTTAGCTTAAGGATTTCCACCCAATGTAAAGAGTGTAATTCAGACTAAAAGCCCTAGCATGGGGCAGGCTTATGATTTCAGTTTCTCACCGGATCTTGTTCTCCTTGCTCAGAGTATCTGAAAAAGTCAAGTATACATTTTTGTAGTTGTTCTTGAACTAAGGGAAAATGTCTTTCAATTTAGAATTCAGGCCTTCAATTCATTAGTTTCACGTAATCTCAGTTCCAGTTCTTTTCAAGGGGCCTTAAGGCCTGGTCGCTTGGACCTGCACAGAAGTGCACACCCAGAACCTCAGCCATTAAGGCTTATGTCTATGTCAAGTAAACCCCCAGTGTTGTGAAGACATCAGTGTGTGCTTTTGATACTTCCTCTTTGGTTCTGGCCTCTGTGGACTTCTTTTTCATTCTAGCAAGCATAGTAATTTATAGTTAAAAAACATTTTATGTACTTTATCCAACATTTCTAGATATTTGAGTAGAAGGATTCTATGTTAGTTCTGTTGTACTGTTGGAAATGAAACTACAGTAACTACTGTATTTGAAAATTTTATTACTTTGTAACTTACAGGAATCTCAATCCTCCAGTTCATCTGATCCATTGGAGTCTTGTGTACCATTTGTATTTTTGTAATAAAACAGTTATATATTATTTATAATGCCTGTATCTGAGTAAGTTAAAGATTTCAAGGTTAATGAATAAAAATTCAAAGGATAATTTATGGTGTAACTAATCACTAATATAATTTAATGTTTTAATTAATTGTAGTATTGGAATCAGGATTTAATTGACTTGAATTGATTTGCAGCAGCTATGTAGAAACTTAAAAAGGCATTTGCTATTTTAGTAGCCTTGCATGTTTAATATCTGATTCCTTTTTTCTCTTTTACTTTTAGATCACAAAATTTGTCCAGGACCGACACAGAGCTAGAAGAAACAGACTCCGTAAAGATCAACTAAAGAAACTCCCTGTACATAAATTCAAGAAAGGTAAGTGAATATTTTTATTTTCTAAATAATCACCACTAGTTTATTTAAAAATACATGGCAACCATACTTCAATCCTGTCTCCTGAGTTTCTGCCATACACTATGCCTAACATTTACTGGCACTCATTTAATAGTCATTAAATTCATTGCACATACCTTTTTTCAACAACATAAATGGTGCCTATACACATGGACCTTGCCAGATGGGATACAGATGGAATCAGATTGACTACATCTATGGAAAGAAGCAATAAAGAGGCTCAATATGATCAGTCAAAATAATGCCAGGAGCTGACTGTGAAACAGGCCATCAATTGCTCCTATGCAAGTTCAAGTTAAAGATGAAGAAAATTAAAACGAGTCCCCAGGAGCCAAAATATGACCTTGATTATACTTGGGAGCTCTGGTAGTGTAGTTCCTAAGGCATTTAACTGCTGACCAGAAGGCTGGCGGTTCAAACCCACCAGCCACTCCTTGGAAGGAAGGTTGGGCAATCTACTTCCATAATGATACCACCTTGGAAACCCAAGGAGGAGTCACTGTGAGTCGGATACAACTCGGCTGACTTTGATTATATCCCACCTGAATTTAGAGACCATCTGAAGTTGGCTTATTGAACACCAGTGACAAAGACTAGATGAGTTGTGGGATGACATCAAGGATATCATACATGAAGAAAGCAAAAAGTCATTAGAAAGACAGAAAAGGAAGAAAAGACCAAAATGGATGTCAGAAGAGACTCTGAAATGCAGAGTAGCTAAAGTGATTGGAAGAAATGATCATGTAAAAGAGCTGAATGGAAGATTTCAAAGGGTAAACTGAGAAGACAAAATATTTATAATGAAACATGTAAAGATCTGGAGTTAGAAAACCAAAAGTGAAGAACGTGCTTGGCATTTCTCAAGTGGAAAGAGCTAAAGAAAAATGTCAAGCCTTGAATTGCAGTATTGAAGGATTCTATGGGAAAAATATTGAATGATGCAGGAAGCATCAGAAGACGATGGAAGAAATACACAGAGTCACTGTAGCAAAAAGAATTGGTTGACATTCAGCCATTTCAGGAAGTAGCAAATGATCAAGAACCAGCGGTATTGAAGGAAGAAGTCCAAGCTGCACTGAAAGAATTGGCAAAAAACAAGGCTTCAGGGATTGATGGAATGTCCATTGAGATGTTTCAACAAACGGATGCAGGACTGCAGGCAGTTACTAATTTATACCAAGAAATTGGGAAGATAGCTCCCTGGCCAACTGACTGGAAGAGATCAACATTTTTGTCCATTCCAAAGAAAGATGTTTCAACAGAATGTGGAAATTATCTAACAATACCATTAATATCTTACACAAGTAAAATTTTGCTGAAGATAATTAAAAAATGGTTGGAGTAATATATTGACAGGGTACTTCCAGGAATACAAGCTGGATTCAGAAGAGGATGTGAAACGAGAGATATCATTGCTGATGTCAGGTGAATCTTGACTGAAAGCAAAGAATACTTGAAAGATGTCTACATGTGTTTTAATGACTGTGCAAATGCATTTGACTGTATGGATCATTAACAAGTTATAGATAACATTATGAACAATGGGAATTCCAGAACACTTAATTGTCCTCATGAGTAACCTGTACATAAACTAAGAGGCTGTCATTCAGAAAGAACAAGGGAATATTGTTGTTGTTGTTAAGTGCCGTCGAGTCGTTTCCGACTCATAGTGACCCCATGCACAGCAGAACGAAACACTGCCTGATCCCGCGCCAGCCCCACAATCCCTGCTATACTTGAATATTACGTGGTTCAAAATCAGGAAAGTTGTGTGTCAGTGTTATATCCTTTCACCATTCTTACTCAATCTGTATACTGAGCAAATAATCTGATAAATTGGACTGTGTGCAGAAGAACACAGCAAAAGGATTGGAGGAAGACTCATTAACAACCTGCGATATGCAGATGACACAACCTTGCTTGCTGAAAGTAAAGATGACTTGAAGCACTTATTGTTAAAGATCAAAGATCATGGTCTTCAGTATGGATTATACCTCAACATGAAGAAAATGGTTACAACTGGACCAATAAGCAACATCATGATAAATGAAAAAAAGATTGAAGTTGTCAGGGATTTCATTTTACTTGGATTCAGAATCAACACCCATGGAAGCAGCAGTCAAGAAATCATATTATGTATTTCACTGGGCAAATCTGCTGCAAAAGAGGTCTTTAAAGTGTTAAGAAACAAAGATGTCACTTTGAAAACTAAGGTACACCCTACCCAAATCCTGGTATTTTCAGTCACCTCATATACATGTGAAAGCTAGACAATGAATAAGGAAGACCAGAGAAGAGTTGATGCATTTGAATTGTGGTGCTGATGAAGAATACTGAAAATACCATGGACTGCCAGAAGAACGAACAAAACTATCCTGGAAGAAGTGCAGCTGGAATGCTCCTTAGACATTGATAGACTTGAGTAAATTGAGCCTACTTTGGGGCTTGATTGCTTTGGGATTTAAATTGATCATGGAGAAATGAAGTTATAAAAACCAAAGTCAAAACTAAAAATTTCCTTCAGGATGGAGCATCCTAAGTACTATGATTTCTTTAATCAAATTCCGTATGTTTACCTGAGATTATCTCAATCCTTCCCATTTCATAAATAAGGATATTGGGTTTATAGTGGTTAGACGATTTATTTGTCCAAGGTTTCAAATGATTATAAAAGTGTATAATTCTTGTCATGGAATTTTCCTTTCAGTTTTAAATCTACCTCAGAGAGTAGCTTGTTTTTATCCTTATTCAGTCAGTGTGCTCCACTTTCATGGTAATAATAATAATCCCATGTCTATAGAAAGAACCACTGATCTAGTTAATCTAGGTATTTTTCTCACTCTTACTAAACACTGGCCTGCTGTTTGTGATGTCCCTGTTATATGATTTGATAAGTACAAGAGAAATTACTGATTTATCATTGATTGGGCTGCTCTCTGGTTAATCTGGTTACATTCCTCACTCAGTCAAGGCCATTCTAGTGAAGTATACTTGAAATTTCTGTTTCAGACAAAACAAATGGAGGGGATTATCAGAACAGTGATATGAAGCTGTTTGCTAAAAAAGAAATAAATGAATTACTGGTTTGCTGACAGTAAGCTCATCTTTATCCCTTCAAGCCTCATTATTATTAAAATTGTCTTAAGTGCCCTACTGGCATACACTATTAATTGATATTTATATAGTAAGCATGGTAATAGATTCAAAATATAACTCTGGTGCTTGTTTATTACATATTTTTTGTTGTTGATTTAAATACGTAGTATCTAAGGCATTTGACTGCTAACCAGAAGGCTAGTGGTTCAAACCCACTAGCCACTCCCCGAAAGGAAGATTGTGCGATCTACTTCCGTAGTGATACTGCCTTGGAAACCCAAGGAGGGATTGCTATGAATAGACTCGACTCAATGGCAGTGAATTTTTTTTTTCCCCAAGACAGCCTTTCCCGCCACCTCTAAGACAGATTTTTAAATACTATTAAAACAAGGTGAGGTAGAAACTATTAAAACAGGGTGGCTACAAAATGACTGTGTTCCTTATTTGATAGATCTCCCCACTATTCCCCCAAAACTAAATGTTTTGCTTTTATTTGTAAAGGCAAAGCATTCCACTGAAAATAGTACATCTGTTCTTGAGACTACCAAAAAGAGGGAACTGACCCTGAGAAGATTTATTGGGTTTTATTTAAGTAGTTTCCTAGAATTAAACTGCATTCAGTAGTTCCTAGAACTGTGTAAGGTGCCCAGGATGCTGTTGTGACCTCATGTGGGGCTGGAGTGATTTTTTTCAAGAAAACACAGGGGCAGCTGTCAGATCTGCTGTGAGCTACTAGCCCAATGTACTTTAGTTTCAACACTAGATTGCTACATTCCTTCAAATAATGGTCATATTATGTGAATCTAGGTTTACAGTGGTTGTGATGAAAAGCAAGTAAAGCATGAAAGTCAATGTACAACAGAAAATGATGGTAGAAATGTCCTACCTGATTCCAAAGTTTGAGAAATTATTCAGGGTGCAATAGCACTGACTTGTTAACTCCTAAATACTTAAGATATTTGGACCTAACTATTTAATAAATAGAACTTTTAGGGGTTTCTGTTGGTCTGCAGATGCTGTGTAAAATTTCTGAGATATTAAAGGTACTTCAAACTGAGAAAGAGTTTGGGAACCTCTGCCATATATATATATATATATATATATATGTATTTTATATGATATATATGTATTTTACATCTGGTAGCATAGTGCCTAAGGCACTTGACTGCTAACCAGAAGGCTGGTGGTTCAAACCCACCAGCCACTCCTTGAAAGGAAGGTTGGGCAATCTACTTCTGTAGTGATACTGCCTCAGAAACCCAAGGAGGGGTCACTGTGACTTGGGTCAGACTCAATGGCACATAACAACAACAACAACATTAATAATTATTCTTTTCAAAGCTCATGAAACAATTTTAGCTCATGCTTTGAATCTCATGGTTCTGATTCTAGAACACTTATTTAAGAAAAAGGAAAATTAGATTAGAAGTAGAAATACTGTAATAAGAAATATATATTTTGTAAATATATGTAATATTTAATATTTCAGTATTTCTGCTTAGAATCTAATAATACTGTAATATGAAATATATATACTTTATAAATACATATATTATTTCATATTATAATATTTCTGTTTATAATCTGATTTTCCCTTTTCTTAAATAAGTGTTTCATAATCAGAACCATGAGATTCAAAGCATGAACTAAAATTATTTCATGAGTTTTGAAAAGAATTATTAATAACATGTAAAAATCCAAACACAATGGGTATATGTCATAAAACATATAATTACAGTAATAGTTGGAAGCCAAAAGTTTTTAACACCTCATTGGTATTAACTTTGATATTTAGTGCCTTACTGTGATTACAAAGTGATGCTGCAGATTGAGCATAAATTGATTTATCAGTGGTATTTTATGAT